ATTATTATGTATTTTAAAATTAATGATGCATACTAAATAATCGCAAATTTACATCAAAAATATAAATTTAGCACTTATCATATGCCAATTTATTATTGCTTTTCAATTAATACCAAAAATATTAGATGGATCAAGTATCTAGCTTTTTCGAGAATATACTAGCAGTAGAACCTAACGAAGCAGATCAAGGCGCTAAAGAAAAGTCTAGACCGAATGAATTAAAGCAATCTAAACCTATGGCAGACAAACTGAAGCGTAAGTCAGAAAGTGATTTTGCATTCTGGACTCATAAGAAAGAAGGAAATGATGAACCAAAGTCTACTAATACATTACTTACTGATAAATTAATGGAGAAGATCATTTCCATGGTCATTCCAATGAATATTAAAGATCAGGGTGCATTGAATGAAAGATTAGAAATGCAGAAGACTCGTCCTCCACTATCTGTAAATTTGATATCGAAGAATTCTATTTTATTGAATCTGCGGCTATCTGTCCCATTTGAAACGATTGATAGTATAATCAAATTTTTCAATTGGGATAACCTGACATTTACAGTGGGTGTGCTATTGGTAATAACCCATATAATCCTAAATCCATACTTGATATTCGTTTTGCCATTATTTCAGATTTTATTTAATGTAATGGTTCCTCATTATCTAGTTCTTCATTCAACAGACAGATCCATGCTAAATACGAGGTATTATCAACGAAATCCTATACCTGACGATGGACCAGCTTTACATGAGTCTGAAATACCAAAACCAGTACCTGAGCTTTCAAACGAATTCATTTTGAATTTGACTGATTTGCAGAATCATATGCTTCTTTACGTAGTAACATATGATCTCATACTATGGGCAACGAACGGGATATTGTTTTACAAAGATGAAAATATCAGTTCTGTGGTATTTTTAGGTTTACTTACTTTGGGCTTGCATAATTTATTCGTACTCCCTAAAGTTGTGCCTATATTGGTCTTATATTTACCGATTAAGCTTATGCTTGTTATCTCCATTTGGACTGCTACGATTATGTTTCATCCTGTAATAAGAAATGTATTATTAAACTGGATGTATAACGAAGAAACACGGTTATATTTTGTTAAATTGAACAACCAGGTAGAAGAGTTTTTATTAAATTTGATTGTAAAAGTAGGTGATGAACAAGTTAATATCGAAACGAAACAAGCCGAAATTTTTGAACTTCAAAGATATGATCAAAGTAGTAAAATTTGGGAATTAAATGGATTTACTAATGACTTCTATACCATAAATAGTCCTATGCGGAAATTAAAGCAAGAATATTTAAAGGTAAAGGACAATGATACAAATGAAGATGAAAGTTCTGAAAAATCTGAACCTGTTGACATTAATACAACACCGAACATCAATGCTATAAAACCACCAATAGATTGGGAATTCAATGAGGAGTCCTGGAAATTAGATTTAGATGTGAACAATTGGGTTAATTCCAATTTACTTGCAGATCTTGTAATGATCGACACTGATGAGAAATGGGTCTACGATTTGGAATCATCGACCACCTCTGAATCCTTCAGAAGAAGACGTTGGGTCAGAACTTGTAAAAGACAAAGTACAATCAAAGATCCGAGCCAAAGTAATTCTGGATCCGCATACAGCGATTACTTATTATAGTATAATATAACATGTGTTCATTTATTCATAAATTCCATTAAGCTTAGAGAGTTAAACTGTTTAGATTCATTCTCTTTTTCCTTTTTCTTCATTGCTAACAAATTGGATAAATTATTTTGCTTCCGTTTCTTTAGCCTTTGCTTAGACTTTGATGTTTCGGACTTAGGCCATGTAGCCTTGAATTCTTCGGGTTTTGAACTTTTATTATTTGCTTCTGTATCAGTACCGCTGTTCGGTATCGGAGTAGAGCGCTTTGAAGTGGGCATCTCTAATGCACGATCTGATTTATGGTAACATTCAAGACATGTATATCTTAATAATCTACGTCTACTTACAGTACCTGACTTTGATTTCTTATAGATTATCCTTGTAGATACTGTAATTCCTGGAATAAAAATACTTTCACACTTATCGCAGAAGGTATCTTCCATATAATTTGCTGGCAAATTAATGCATTTCTCATTAGTAAAATCTGCAAATGTATCCTTGTATACCTTAGATAACGGGTTTAATGGTACCGAATGACTCAAATTAAGTAAATGAATCGAAGTTATTTGGTTGTTTGTTAATTTGTCCATGCTGATTGGAAATATAAGTCTTTCAAAAATAGTTTTTCAGATTAGACCGAATTTCGGCACATCTCCAGCCAATGAAGAAATATTTATTACAAAGCTCACAGAGTTAGATAACTCCATACTAATCTAGGTAACATATTTAATATAAGAATTTTGCATTATTAGCTTTTTGTTTTAGCTAACCTACTATATACTTTTGCTCGAATGTATGTGCAACAAAGAAAGCGTTTAAAGCTTATAACACCATCAAACATACCAGGTAAAGTACTCAAAACTTGTGTACGGTGCAGACAGCATAAGACTAAATGTGATGCTTCTAGAACTGACCCATTACCATGTTCACATTGTTTTAAGAAGAATATAAACTGTACATTAGATATAATAACCAAGGACCCGAATAGATCAAATGATTTGGTGACTAAATTAACAGTTGATGTGAGATCTTTAAAGAAAAGCTTAGATACATTAATCAACAGAAAGTTCAAGATGATAAACATGCTTGTTGAAAAAGGTGTGTTAAACGTTGGAAAGATGACGGCAACTCCCCCTATCTCTAAGATCGAAGCGTGTCTTAATTCTCCCCTGGAGACTCCGATGCCATTAACTCCAGAATCTCCAAAATCAGACACTTCATACACTATCAATAGTCATATCAGTAGTAGGGCATTTTCTATCTCACAGGAGGAAGCTGTTGAAAGTTTCCATAATTATCATTTGCATTTCAATAGATATTTGCCTATATTCCCTGAAGAATTCTTCAATACTATAAATATAGAAAGATTTTACCAACAGAATGACTTATTATTTTGGAGTATCATACTCACGTCATATTTGAACCAACCTGAAGCATCTAAATACTTACATTTATCTAATCACATAAAATCCTTGGTGGTTGGAAAATGTTGGTTTAATACCCCAAGATCGGTATATATACTATCATCGTTATTGATTTTAACTACATGGCCTTTACCTTCTGAAAAATACCTGAATAATGGTGAGAGCATATCCATTAAATATCTTTCCTTGATGAAGAATATATCATTACAATTAGGTTTACACAGATCGCAGTTTATTGATGAATTCAGTCATAAAACTGAAATTAATGTTTCTGATGAATTGAAGTTAAATAATTTAATAAGAGAACGAATTTACAAATTCATTAATATCAACTCGAATTATTGTTTAATCTACTCTGGTTTGTCACATCTTAATTACAATGGTTTCCAACAAGATTATATTATTAATAAGGCAAATCAAGATTTATTCAACAATAATATTGATAATGAGGAAGATAAGTATATTAATTCATTATTGAAAATTTCTTTAGTGCAATTAAAGTTGAATGAGAATATGAATGATATTATTAACGACAAGAAGGTTTATGCACACGCAAATTCTGATAAGCTAATAAATTTGAATATGTTTGAAATAATATTGAATGACTTTAATAAAGACACTAGTCCCTTGTTGTCTAACAATCTTATAAAGCTATCGGTTGAATTCCTGAAATTGCAGTTGTTTGTTTATTCATTTAGTCGCATGGATATCTCTCTTGTCGAATATCGTAGATGCATCATGAATGCTATTAAATCCTGTTACCTTATTTTAGATTTATTTGCAAAAGAATTTGTGGATATAAAAAATGTCAATCAGCTTCCAGTGCATTATAAATTTATTATTGAATTAACATCCTTAATAATGTTAAGAATTCATTCATGCCCCTTATTGAATACGCTCGATGACTACCATGTCTTGAAGGAAAACTTTCAAAAAGCATACGGAATATTATCTTTAAATAATGACAAGGCCTGGTTAAGTATAAATGGTCGATTACGAAAAATCATTGAAAAGTACGATAATCTTTTCAGGGAGAAACCACAGTCTATTTTAAATGCAGCCGATTCGTTTTTTCTTATCAGCAAGATGCAAAATTATTTGGTTTCAAGTTTAAATTATGAAATGGTATGGTATATATATCAGGATTGGAAGAACGAAGATAATTCGGAGGACGGAAAGACGCAAGGTATTAATTGGTTAAAGTTTGGGTTAAATGAGAAGAATGTTACTTCTAAAGAGATCATGGATTATTTATCGAATGAATGTTCAATTTTTAAATGATTTTAATAATGTATATGTATTCTTGTTTTTTACAATATTATATATATAATATACAAATTATCGGTCTATCCAATAGGCATTCAATCTTCTCGAAAATACAAATGGCTTTGTAATTAAGTACGCAGCTAGTAAAGCTAAAATAGTCAACACCAACTTAATTCTATCAAAATTTTGACTCAACAAATCGTAAGACAACGAAGGTTGAACTACATTGCAGAAAATGTTGAATTTATTAGCAAAACACACAACTGAAGTTGATTCCAATTCAGTGGGCTTCATTAATATCTGATTAGTATCTGGGTCTAAAATCAATTGATGCTTATGATTCAATACCTGGAAGTTATTCTTAGGGATTACCGGTTCATATGGCATCATCCTGAAATCGTCTTGGTAATCCTTACTAGTTAATTCTCTATTAGCTATTCTTCTGCTATTTAAAACAAATTTTGGAACTTCAATTAAACTTCCCGATTCTGTCAAAAACAACATAGATTTTAATGTTATTCCAAATTTTGTTTGAGTCGATGCAAGAGATACTATTCTCTCTGGGAAAATGAACGATTTCTTTGAAATAAAATTGATTGTTGTGTTGCTCTCAAATGCAGAAACAAGGTTTGCTGTCTTAACAGATTTTTCCTTTGTATCAAATAAGTCAAATACAATAATTCTTTGTTGCAATTTTGGAGCCTTAACAAAGAATGTGTATACTATCCAGTTATCATCCATGCATAATTGAATGGAATCAGAATCGACAACTTCATCTTTACTATGTTCATGCGTATACAATATATTTCCACTAACACTGTCAATTAAATAATAGCGCAATACTTTTGTATCCTCCTCCTCTGTTATAATAGAAATCAAGTTTGGATTCAAGTATTTGTATAAAACAGACTTGTCAGATAGAGTTATACCAATAGATGAGGTCTTAGTATGCATAGGTTTAGTCTTTATTAATAAAACTTTTTCATTCGGCTTTTCAAATTTCCAAGTTGGAGTTAAGTCTCTGTCATTAATTTTATAACCCTGTACACAATCAGTAGTTTCATCGATCAAATATTGATCTGCTTTTATATTAATATCATTGTCTTTGAATAATTGCAATTTAGAATTTTTAGAAAGCTTTAATGCAATTACTTCTTCTTCATTTTCCAGTCTTAATAAGAAACTATTCAGTATTTCATCTTCAAAGGTTCTTGTACTTGTAATTTTTCCATTTCTAATATCAAATGATAGCAACGAATGCTTTAAAACAAGAACAACCTCGTTTGTTGCAGGTTTATCTACAAAATCTATTATGCTCTGACCGTTCGCATCAATTTGAGATTTCCATGCAACAGACCCATTTTCAGAATCAATGGCTATAACGTATCCCTGCAGTTCGTCCATAAAAATAATTAGTTTGCCAAATCCAAACGTATCTTCAGGTGCGTATTCATCTTGAGAACCGGATGAAGTAATAACTTTTGAAATAATAAATCGACCCAACTGGGACAAGTGTCTTCTAAGTATCGCAAGCCAACGAGAGATGAAAAAGTGATAGTCATCTGAGTCATGAAGCAAATGGTGTACCTTATTTATTTCGCCTTCTGATTGTGGTCTGTCAATCATCAAATACTTCGACGAAGTCGGATGAAATCTATTCAACTCGAACGATGAATGCGTAACAGATTTGGTACTTGTGACACTAATTAGGACGTCAACCTTAAAATCGAAGAGGTGGCTGGAAATTAACTGCAAATTTGACTCGTTATCATAGTTTATATAATTCTTTCCATTTTTAATTAAGCTATTCGATTTCAATTGGTATTTCTGAATAGCATTAATATCGCTGCCTAGTGAAAGTCCTGATACGTCTAAGAGAATAACATCGGATTCAGTTGCAAGAAGAACACACTCTGCCGATGCATAGTTTGTAAAATCAACTTCCTCAATTGGCTCTTCAAATGAATAATCAACGAGTGACGAAAACTTTCCATCGACAATGGAGTAAAAATTAATTACCTTGGAGTTAATAGAGTAGGCTAATTCAAGGTTCAATACTTGAAGATGCAGCTTCAGTTTTAACGAATTCTCGATCTCATTCACGCCATTATCATCTAGGGACAATATAACATTGTCTCGGGTAACGACAATATTATCTTTGAAGGTCTCCACTTGATCAATATTAGAGATATACTTCTTCAAAGATTTAGAGATAGACAAAACATCTAATGAAATTGCAATTCTAATTAACAATAATTCATCTGTTATCACATATAAAGTGCCATCCACCTGTGAAGTCTTGATATCCTTAATTTTGACATCGGTACTAATAGGCTTCACAACCCCATCGTTTCCTAAGAATGTCAACAGCCCATCGGTCCCGACTACCAAAACCCCTATACCAAAGAATTCAACCACCTTCAATGGAACTGTTTCACTTGTAAGTGTTTCCTGTAAAATCCCCGTTTTAGTATCGAACAAATAAATACGACTGTCACTGGTGGAAAACGCATACACCGATTTACGATTTTTGGATAACAAGTATTGGTCCACATTCCCATACTCACGTAGATCTGCTTTCCAATTCAATTTACCACCACTACTTATATCTATATTCAATATCTGTGCCTCATTTGTTAATCCTATAAGCTGCTTGTCTGACAAGACTTCGTACTGCTGTATTTCTCCATAAGTATGCTTAATCCAATCTTTTACAAATGCATCTTCGAATAGCACTCCAAAAGCTAAAGATGATAATAGTGATAAAACCCCTATAGTCTGGAACAAACGCATGGCTCTCAATGTTCTTTAGTGCTATAATTGAACGATATAAAAGCCTTTAATTCAGTATACCCGTCTTGATCAAATGTGAATGTCGTAGACATTTTCAAATCGCGACATTTGGATTCTGAGTTCTGCATGTATATAGATTGCTGATTGCAATTCACGGCTCTCGTTATCAAAGGAGTGACGCAGGCTTATACTATACCTTTTCTTTGTTCAATAAGAAGGACAATTGCCATCAAGATAGTTGTGAATTCAATTATATCTGTTCCTTATTAAATCTAAATGCACGCTAAAGATTGGTTACTTGTACTTGTTGGGTTTTTCCTCCCCCCAGTTCCAGTTTTCATTAAAAGAGGAATTTCTTCTGCTGACTTTTGGATTAATATCTTACTTTGTTTACTAGGATTCTTCCCTGGATTGCTCCACTGTTACTACATCATCCTGTGCTATCCTTACAGTGAAGGATACGCCACCCTTGGTGGTGATGGCCACAATCACAGAGCAAACGACTACGGTGCTACAGTGGGATAGACAAGAAGGCGTGCTTAAGTTGGGTGTACATATTTTGCACCAGACGAATTAGCAGGCGGGTGTAATCTTGTCTAGGTGAAGCATATCTCCTACGAAATAATACGCTAATCCCTGAAGATTGATTATGTAGTGGTAGTTTGTGCGTGTTACCCGGAGATAGTTCCGAGAATAAAAATGAATAAAACTTTTGACTGTGATATGCCATTGCTTGGAAATACCTTACAACCTTAATATATGATCTAACTATTGAATTGAACTCAAGCTGTAGGAATTTCTTGCAACCTTGTTGCACGCATAACTTAAGTTGGCCGATCAAGTATTCATACTTATTAAAGATCCATCGGTTCAATGTGTCTATATGCGAAGATTAAGTTGAATGTCCTAATTTACTTCTCTAGCGTCAGTGGAATATAATGGAATGATTGGCAGAATTCGGACGGGAATCGTATTGATTTTCTGTTATTTGAGTTCTGTGCAAGTTTTGGGAGCTGTGTGGATCGGCAGTTTTTGCTAATCTATGTGGCTCTCACTACTCTCAATCAGACCCACTAGCTATTAGCAGAACCTTGTTTTCTTGTTTTATCACTCTTTGGATACGTTTTGTATTTTTGGAGCGATCATTCTTGCTTACATATTTCTGTTGTTGGTGGTTTTTCTATACTGATTGAGAACTATCTACACTTATAATAAGTTAAATGCTACCAACTTATTGACTATTATGGATATTTACATTTCATTATACATGGTTCTATTCAGCCATGTTAGATGCTATATACTCACTGCTCTCTGTGACATCTCCAGTTTTTTTTCTACCACCCCCTTGTTTCCATAACCAGAGCGCTTCTATCGCATAGTTTCTTACTGATAAATTTCTAGTCTTTGATTCATCGGCGGCTTCCGTCAAAGAATCAATGATTCTTAATTCCTCAATCAAATCCCACATTAAGTTTTCAAAATTTGACATAAGTTCGGATAAATTTTCATTGAATTCTTGGTCTTCAGTTTCTCCTACTGGTAAAATATTATATTTATGCAACCCAAGTTTATGCAAAATCCTGCCTAAGATTTGTATACTAAAGGACCTCTGACCTGCAAGAACAGACCTCGACAAGTGAACTAATTCACTTAAAGTATATCCTGGTAAATGTGGATTTTCAGAATGATGGTGTAGCCCTAAATATGTAGGCACTTCATCTTTGGCAGATTCTGATTTTAATAAATCAACCAAATCACCCTTGAAATCAAATCTCATATCTGAAATTGATTCATAAGTAGTATCAACTTGTTTAGGTAATGGCTCCGTCATCCACGATAACTTATGCGTTTCTTTTGGTAAATCAGGGAAATATTTCTCATGTAATTTATCATAGAAATCAGGATCGTTTAGATCAAGTTTTTCGTTATTAGTACTAGCCTGTATTGGCTTTGGAAAATGAACAGAGGAGCCTTCTTTTTCATCATCTGAATCGTTCACTAATTGATAATCCTCGTGTGCTACTTCATCTATGTCACCCGTAATTAAATCATTTACATCTTCTACGTCTTCCCATCCATTAGGATCCAACTCAACATTCTCATCTAAATCTTCATATTTCACAGTGGCTACTTCTTCAAACCTCACAGATTTAGATTTGGCATCCGCTCGAGATTCTTTTTCTTGCTCATCCAGTTTAAGATCATTTTCTAAGCTTAAACGGTTAATTCCTAATGCCTTATCGACATCTTCTTCATCTAATAGCGTAACATCCGCCCATTTATCATTAGCTCTACCGCCACCTATCCATCCGCTGAACCCTTCTGCATGCACATGCCCTTCATTATCATCACCACAACAGTTTTTGCTACTTTTTTCTTTCTTTTCGGTTCTTTTCAAGAGACTCTTGATAAGATTTGGATCCAATCCATTCAATAACTCTGCCTGTTCTTGTTCAATTTCCTCGTTGGTCATTTGTGATATTTTGTTCAAATTTTCCTGATGGATCTTTTCAGCTTCTGATATAGGTTTACTGACCATTGGCTTTGAATGTTGTTCGTCTGGAACTTTTTTAGATTCTTGTCTCTGCTTCCATCTCGATACCTTCTTTTCTTTTAGCTTATTCAAATCTGGAAACCCCGTTTTAGCCGTCATTTGTGGGGGCTTTGGGGCCTCTATTTCATGCTCTACAATCTCTCCTAGCATGTCCATCTTTATTTATTGAGTTTTACTTATAAATAATGCTGTGCTTAATTGTACACTTGCAATAATTTTTATTCAATACCTGGTACTGTATATTACATAATTACAAATCTATAGACCATCTGGTGTACTTCCTTCATCATTATTTTCTTGAAAAGATGGAAGGTAATGGGGTATGTGAAACTCTTTCTTCTTGATCTTGTTGCTAATATATTCTACGAAATTCTTGCTGATCTTTTCATTATATTGTTCATATTCAATAAGCCTGCTGGAATATAGGCTCTCTGCAGTAGATTTTTCTACATCACGAACAATTTTTTTCTCCTTTGATGGATATATCATGTCAACATATGGGAAAAAGAACAAGAAAAAACTAATGGCTAATCGTTTGGGGGAATATGACGACTCGTGCTCCACGAAGTCGCCGTTCGTTCTATTGTTGTTGAGCCACAAGTTTTGCCAATTTCTTTTAAACCCAAATGTAAACGGAGTATCTCGAACAGTGTACTGTACAATTACCCTTGTGTTATTATATCTAACATTAATATATCGTATTCCAGTTTCCTCGCCAGGTGTTCCACGAACATCTTTTTTCTTCGTTTTATCATTATGTGCTTTCCACCTTAAATACCTTTTCAGTTTATTTATATTGATATCATCGACAGTAGTCATATTATAAACGACGTAATGTAGGTGCACTATTAATAGTGCCAGGAGTATAAGTATCCAGAAGCCACTCAAAATATATAGAACAATATAATTATGGTCGATGTCTTGAGTACCCCTATAGTAATTCAGTTTAGTATATCGCAATAGATATATTAGCGCAACTATGAAAAACATTAGAAACCATATTACAAACTTCAAAAAGTACTTATAATTCTTCTGCCCAATAACAGTGCCTACCCAAACGCAATAATGGTCAAACTTAAGAACACAGAAATTCTTATCCTTCAGATGTAATGTTCGTGGAAGCTTAATTGACTGACACTGAGAGCACCAATATGGGTAACCAGATTCGTCACAAAAGAAATAATCTGGAACAGGAGTCAAGTCAGAAGTATCTTCCGAATTATACAAGTTAAATGGTCTTACTCGAGGAGACCTCCCAGGTCCTTCTATAAGCAACAATATCCAGTATACTATCACACATATTTCACACCAAGCTAAAATAACCCAAAGACTTATCGCCACACCATGAGAATGATATTTGTATATTTCTTGATAACCCAACGAATAAAAGCATGCAAAATCAATGTATCCCAATCCCGATATAACGCATATTGGAATAATTTTCTTTGCCCAACTATATTTGAATAGTTTAGGATCAAACACCATAGAATGATATCATCATGTTGGGAAGAAATCTACAGTAGTACTGATTCACATATATGGCACAGAACCTCGTTTTTGTGTCATTTTAATCTTACCATTAATAGAAGACATGAATACTAGAAGATTACAAATAATTTCCTATATATATATATATCTAACATATAACTCTTTATCTGATGGTGGTGGAAGGTATGTGTAGATGATATTCTAAATAAGATGAATTCATTACTAACTGAAACCTTAGATGATCGTTCGAAGGATATGTGCCCTATCTGTAAGACAGATAAGTACTTATCACCCAATATGAATTTTCTTATTAATCCAGAATGCTACCACAAGATATGTGAATCATGTGTGGATAGAATATTTTCTCTCGGTCCAGCACCTTGTCCTTACCCTAAATGTGGTAAAATATTGAGAAAGAACAAGTTCAAAAAGCAGATTTTCGATGACTTGGGTATAGAGAAAGAAATCGACATACGAAAGAGAGTGAGTGGAATATACAATAAAACAGAAGAAGATTTCGAGAATTTGAAAGATTATAATAAGTACTTGGAATCTGTGGAAAATATAATATTCAATCTTAATAATGGAATAGATGTTGAAGAAACCGAGTCTAATTTGGTTAAATATGAAAATGACCATAAGATTGAAATATTGGAAAAAAATATGAGAGAGAGTCAAAAGAATTCAGATTTGGCCAAGTATCAAGAATCTATGGCTCGTTTGAAGCAAGAAAAGGTCAAGATTCAGAAGCAGATGGAAATTGAGGATTTGGAATTTCAGAAACAGCAGAAACAAGAACTCTTAGACAAGTTATCGACTGCACAGTCTGCAAATTCGGAAGAACTAATTGCTCAATCTAATAATAATATTCTCAAGAGATCTTCATTGCGTAAAAGACAATTGCAGCAATTAACTTCTCAATTAGATCAACAATTTCAAAGTTCGAATCCTTTTGCTAAACAAGCTAAAGCCATAGAAGATGAAGGCAATAGAACACCATTCACGCCATTTAAAGGTGACCGTGAATTACATAAAAGTTACACTTTTTTGCCAGAAATACACGAGAACAATGCAATGGAAGTGGATGGGGACGCTGGATCCAATACTTATTATGCTCCTTACTTGAGCAAGCTTGCAAAGGACAAGCAGTATTTGGGTGCTGGATGGAGATTAAATAGTGCATTCGAAAGAGCATTAGATGAGGCATTCACAGGTCTATGCTGTTTCATTGATAAAGAGAAAAATTAGTTATATACTTACGGGTTGTATAGGCGTGGCATTTTGTATATTGATATATGATAAACTGGCATCTTTGATAAATTTCCTGTAGTATCAAAATGGATTACAACTCCAATAAATTATCGTTGTCGACTTCTATATGACTAGTAGACCGTGTAGATGTTTTGGTCCCTGTTATAATAGGTTTAATAGGTTCCTGAACCATTGAAAGGTTCGGCAATGATGAATTATACTCTTCAAACTCGTCTTCGTCTCCTTCTTGTTCTTGGTCTGTTTTTCCTTCTATTTCATAATCATCCTCGTTCTTGTGCGTGGTAGTTTCCTCCAATTTTTTCAGTTGTTCTTTAGTTTCCAAATTATTCTTTAGCTGTATCTTGTTGGAATCATCTTGTTCTTTCTTATCTTCTCTTTTTATCATTGTTTCTTCTTTGCTTTCTCCTGGCTCGTCTGTGGATGCCTCATGTGGTATATTTTCATCAACATCAATATCCAGGTCATCTGATACTGGATTTTTAATATCACTTTTAGTATTCGCTGCTTTCGTACCTTTATTTACAGAGGTAATGTTGCCCCATAAGGATAAACCCGAAGTAGGCAAAAATGAAAACTTCTTGTTCTTATTTGAGGGACTAGACGTTAAATTTCTGTTAGGACTTGGGTTTTCAATCTCTGGCTGTAAATCTATGCTATGAGAATTATTAATGGAGCCAGCATTGAAACCAAATAATGAACCAAAAAATCCATTTTGTTTACCTTGTTCGCTTGTCGCTGCCTGCAATGCCCGATCGTATTCTTCTTCTTTTTGTTTCAACTTATCAAGATGTCTTTCGTGATCTTTCCTCTTTCTTTCGTGAATTTCCTTAGAGATCTGTTCACTATGATGAGCTTTAATCAATTGGATTCGTTTATGTATAAATTTATTCGATTCTCTGTCCACGATACGGTTAAGCTTATTTGTAATTGATTCCTTTGGAAGCTCAAGATATAATTTTTTTTTTAGCTTATCATGATTTGTATCTATTTCTTTGTCAGTCACTAAACTATCCTTTTTATCTTGAACACTTCCATTGTTTGTCATTAATTGACTATTACGAAACTGTAATTCTCTTTTTCTGGATTCAATGTACGAATCTCCAGAAGACCAACTAAATAAGGTATTAGCTGTTGATTGCATTAAGTTCCTATGTTCGTCATTGTTTTCAGCCTCCGTACTTTTTGCCGTTCCCTGAACGTCTACTGTTTGCCAATTATCAACTATTGACTTCAGTGTAACTTGAATTACTGACTTAGACCATCGTACTACATCCGACCGCACGTTGCTTTCATCTATGAACTGCTTCGTAAGCCCTTGAAACGAATTGTAGTATTTATTAGCCTTTTGCGTTTGCTGAAGTAACGATTCGGGGTATTCAGGTGTATGATCTGTGGTCCTTTCAGGTACGGAAACTTCCTTAAATATTATATCTAGCAGTTCTTGTAGTTTTATATTATTAATATCCTCCTCTCCATTATGCTTTTCAGTCATTACAATGTTCTTTTTGTATTCAATATAATGCTTTGTATGCTGATTTACGTCTCGGTGTATGCTTCTTTATCCAAATTTCTCATTCACGAGGGAACTGTGTTCTTCGATATGAGAGAATAGAACTTTTTTAGCACATATCAACTAATAGCTATAGAACAAAAATGGCCTACGAGAAGTTGAAATTAGCACAATTTCCACATTATACTGTATTATTATTCTTGTTTACTGATGTTGATAGTCCGGTACTTAAGCAGGTGAAAGAACAGCTCATTTCAGGTAATAAAGATTATGACTTTTGTTTCTTAAACACACAACATATTATATCACTAGAGCAATTGTATAATTCTATACATAAAGCAATATTAAATTATGAATTCGGTAACATGAGAGCTAAAACATTGAATACGGAAATTATATTTAATTTGTCACCAATAAATAATATTATGGATGCATTGAAGAGATTTGGGGTTGATGAAGCATGTCCTAACCTCATCACAATAAAAGTATTACCAACGTCTGAGTGTAATGAGGTAGCATGTAAAGAATTAAACACTCATCTTATGAACATTTTGAGTATTGACGATTCACATAATCCTACATTAAATGATGAGCTTATTTTCAATTCATTGGTTGATTTAAAGAAGTTAAAGAAGGTTTATAAGCTAAATGATGCAAAACTTTCTGAAGACAAAAGTAACTTGCAAGGTGAGTTAACTCGCTTGACTATTGGTGCATGCCAATTAAGAGGCTGTTAATATCTATTAACAAAGTAACCTCTAAGTACATATATTTTTAAAATGCTATATCTATTGTACTATTCTAATATACAGAGAATGGAGTTAGCCACGAAAAGCAAATCTTTGTAGGCTGATGCTTTGTTTCTTTTCAATATTAACTTGAATGTTTGCTGTCCCAACTTGACATGCTTCTTTCTTGTTAATTTGCAATATATTCTCCTTCACTTCCTCCTGAGATCTAATATTTTCTTGGTAGTGGTTCATGTACTGACGTTCCTTGCCCTGCGACTGAAGCGGTACTGATCTTATATTCAAGTCAGATGGAGCTAATGGTTTTGTATTTTTTAAATGACTTGGTTTGTCTTGGGGATTGTAATCAATATTTGTACTAGAATTCAACAGGTATTTTTCACGCAATACTTTGGCAAAGTCACGAAGCTTGTCATTTGTAGGAATGGACTTAATTGGTGATTCTTCTATTATATCGTCCTCTTCGTCGATTCCAAACTCTAGGCTGGTATTCGAATTTTTTAATGAAGATGATGAATCTGGAGTTTGCGATTCCAAATCTTTAACTTCATCATCACTGAAATCATTATCTGTAAGACCATCTGTAATATTATTAGTCGCGCATTGGGAACCACGAATATGATTCACAGGAGATGAAAATTCATCAGGTATATCTGAATCGCCCGAAATAATACTTGAATCCCACGGAGCTTGTTTAGTTGAAATTGGAGTAGGTAAATGATTCAGAACAGGAGTTTTGTCAACATTTCCAAAGAATTTACTAATTTTGCCTTTTGGGGACACGAAAGTAACACTATCGCTTTCGTTAGCAATCCGCTTTATCTTTCTAGTAGTTGGGGAAACTTTTTCCTTGGGAGCTTGAAGTCGCATTCTCTTACTAGGCGTTTCAGTATGGATACTCATTTCTCTAGTGGACTTTACAGTGCTGAAAAATGAATCAATGGCACCAGTCTTTGGGCGTTCCGGGACAATCGTAGCTGATTTACTTCTACTTGCCATGTTCGAAGGTATTGATGACTTTTGAGAACCTAAATTTATCGAACCGCCTTTCAAATTAGATAAACTCTGCTCCCTAGATACGAGAATCTCAAGTGTATTTGGGTGTATCTTACCAGTACAAATTTGGGCGTGTATCGTTTCACTCAATGTCTTACCGCAACATTCTTCTAGAATTTCAAAATCTAATTTCAAATCATCTGGATACGAATTTAAGGTTTCTAATTTTTCTGTAAGGGGATTAAATACTTTTTGAAATTGAAATGCCAAATTGGCCTTGTAAACTTCGTCCTCGAAATCTATAGGTGTTTTCTTACCGTCGGATCTTAATGCAATCAATACCTTCTCTAAATTATTAAACTTCTTGACTAAGTTGAACGCTGTCTTCAAACCAATTCCAGGAATACCCTTCGTATAATCACAGCCTGAAAGCATTGCCACAAGTCTTAATTGTTCTTGAGTGTAATTAGACAAATATGGGATTTTCTTAACCTTGGAAAAATTATCTCTACATATTTCAATACACTCGCCAAAGTCATTCAACTTGGTAATTAGCCGATTACACCCAAATATGAGTAAATCAGAATCCTCTGATAATATACCATCAACTAAACCAATCCTCTCCAAATAGACCATTTGTGGATCTGCTTCATATGGTGCGACAATATACTTGACTTTTCTCATGTCTAACTCTACCATGATAGATTTCGCCATTTGTGGTGTCACTCCAGCCGCCTTCATAAACTCCTTCCATGCCAATTTTCTGTTACCATCTTTAATCAACTGATTAGCCTTTTCTTGTGCTTCTTGTCTCTTCAATCTTCTTTCTTTTGCTGTTTCAGCCTTTGTTGGTAAATAAGCACCATCAAATACTAAATATGGCTCCACTCCGAAATGTCTTAGCATATCTATTTTCTTCATTACTGAATTAATATACTTCTTCGTTGGTACATCCTGACATAGTTCTTGTGCACACGATATCAAGCCTCTATGTAACCACCCGTAAGTATCAACAGCTAATGTTTTTCCCCTATACTTTGATAATGAGGTTGAATCTTGAATTTCTTTCAAGTGTTGAAGTAAACCTGTTACTCCCATCCTTATTAGAATAAGATTTTAACTGGCTGTAATGGTTTATGGGAATAGATTAAGAACTTTCTCAATATGTAAATAAAGTAGAAAAAGCAAAACGCGGTTGACCAAAATATTCTCTTCGATTTAAAAAGCGTAAATTTGTAAATAAATATATTTTATTTTACATAGAATAGAACAAATTTTAAAGAATGCTTTATTATTTACCAATAAACAGAGTGTACTTCGTAAACTAATATATAAATCGTATCTATTTCTTTTTTGGTTTGTACATACTAACTGGAGTATTCACCGGGAATCTGTGTATGCCAATACCTTGTTTAGATGTAGACTTTTTTTGGGCATGACTAATATCTTTAGAAGGATCATACTCAAGAATAGGACAAAATGTGATTTCTTTCGGTTTCACGTTCTCTTTGTTCGATTCAGAGTTAGAAACCTTGATCTTTTTATTCTGTTGGCCCTGTGTTTGATTAGAAGGAGGTGCATTATTTGTAGCAAAATTATCCTGGAATTGTTGTTGCTGCATTTGATTATACAACATGTACATATGATGTTGCTGCTGTTGTTGATGAATTTGATATTGCTGTTGTAAAATATATTGTCCTTGAGTTTCCGAAGGAAAACCATTGAAAGGTGTATATCCATTGGCCATCATTTGCTGATGCGATGGTATCGCTCTTAACGGATTATTAAATATTTGGCCTTGTATTGGTATCTGATTCTGCCCTTGAGACGAATGCAATTGGGAGGAATTTACGCCAGTATTAATAACCTTAGTAGGCGTCGAGGTTACCATACCATCCGGTAACTGAGGAGTGTTTATGTAGGGTCCGGCGGATCTGAGTGTTTCATTCTCATTCTGATTTTGCGCTAAAAATGAAGACGTATCAATGGCTTGTTGTTTTGTCTGTATGTTCATATTCTGTGAGCCAAATTGAGATTCTGGCTGAGAAAAGTTCCTGATTTGAGTTATATTTCCTGTCGATCTTGAAGGCATTAATGTTGGTTGGTACTGAATGTTTTTATTCATAGATATTTCATCCTGATTTTGAATTCGTTGCTGGGTCTGTAATTGAGGATGATTTTGCGTGTGTAACGGCGCCTGTATTTGGCCCTGCATTTGCATTTTGTTTAGTAATTGTTGTTGTATTTGGTGGTGCTGTATCTGTAATTTCAATTGTTCTTGCTGCTTAACTACATTTGGATTAAACTTTTGCACAGTGCTTGCATCATAAATTGGTGCTGTGAAAGGACCTTGAGTTATAAACGAATTATTAGCCTTGAAAATGTCAATTTTCAAATTTTGATTTGTTCTCAGTGTGCTTGGTGAAATTTGTTTTCCGACAGGAGATGAATTTTTACATGGGGATGAATCTGCAATTTCAGTAGCATTATCATCTACTTCGTCTACTTCATCAAGGCTTGAAGCTCTATCTTTCATGCGAATACTGGTAAGATGACTTGTGCCCTCTGAAAATAATTCCTTTTTGAATTCGTGGATTATCACTCCATAAACTGGGGAGCTTGAGCATAACTCCTTGTCGTCCTCGTAAATAATCTGCATCACTGATAAATTTTGTAACTCATTATCATCGTCATGTCCATCATTCAAGAAAGCTAAATACCCAGACCAAAAATCTTTTAAAAAGGGGATCTGTAAGTCGAAAGTGTTTTCTTGCTCATTCAAATAACCATTCACTATTTCATTCTTCTTTAGTATTAATCTTTCGCCATTATACACTTTCGCCATACATTTCCATTGTAACATATCAGGTGTCTTTCCGTTATTGATAGTTACATTAATTTTGATATAGGAACTGAAAGAGCCACCTTCAAGGTTCATGACTTTAGGAGCCTTGGCCATTGAGGGAGTGGATGAAAATGGTGATAAATCAGAAGATGGAGATATAGCTTTATTGCCACTAACATTTAAATTGTTACGAACTAACCAAATGGGGATGTTATAAGATATGACTTTGGAAAGAAGCGAACTGTTCAATTCTTTATTAATATTCGTGTTCAATTTATTGCGTAATTTCAATTGAGTCATTGAAGTATGAGATGTTGAATGGAAAGTAGTAAACTTATGCGAATTATGATGGTCTGTTTTATCGTTGAACATTATGGAGAGTTCTTTCGGATGTAATGAATAAGAGCATTTCTTATCAGGTAAATTTGTCTTAAAATCAGGGAAAGATGTTTCTTTTTCATTGTTACCCCGGATGAAAATAGGAGACGACGAAAGTATACCTCCTAGTTCTTTATCTATATCTTCGCTATCAATAGAATCAATTTTGCTGCTGTCAATTAAATCTTCTAATGGCGTATTCATCAAGGCGTCTAGCTCTTCATTCAAGATAGGGCTTTCGTTGAAGTCCTTCCCATACTTAGCAGGTCTCTTCAATTTCGTTAACCGAAAAAGTCTGGATGCGATCTGTTTTGGGGTTCTCAAAACACCAGTTTTATTGAGTAACATCCTTGATAAGATTTTATTTTGTGACGAGTATTTTAATATCGAAGTATTTGGCTCTTGGTGCTCTTTGAATGTTTTGAATTTTAAATATGAACTTAACAAAATTTCATCAATTTCTGGATACCAAACTTTGTCATTATAAGTATTGGCGCTACCTATCGATGAAGTATCAGTTCTTGATAACTTTCTGGGCGCGGGAGAAGCAAGAATGTCAATCTTGGATGCTATGGATGTACTTGGGGATTCAATAAAATCGTGAGAGATCTTTCTTTTCTTACTTGTCTTAGAAGCACTTGCATTAAAACTTCTTGGTAATGGTGTTGAACTATCTAAACTTTCGGCTAATATATCAGTTCTGGGTTTGATAGGTACCAACTTAGGCGCTGCTTTCAACTGTGATTCATGCAAATTTTTATTCTTAATATTTGTATTCGGTGTTATTGCAGCTCTGGTTTCATCCACATATACTGATGTCAAATCTGTCGTATCATTGCCTGCTGTATTATCGGTATTTAATGAACTGACATCTATGGATAGTTCATTTGAAGAATTGTTTTCCTCTCCCTTTTGTCTGTGTTTTTTACTCACTTGCGAAGCTATGGCATCAAGAAATTTATTATTAGTAGTGCCTGACGATGGGGGAGGAGTAAATGAATTGAACATATTCTTCTTGCTTTTTGTTTGTTTATCATCTGATCTGCCTTTCGTTTCGTATTCGATTCCGTATTGCTCATGTTCACGTTCATTTTTAGCATCAACAACTTTATTCAAATTATTCGATACCTGGAAGAACCTTTGCGGTGATAATGAATTTATGATATTCATAGGCGAGCTGAATTGGAACGAAGGCAGAAATCCTAATCCAAAACTGAACGAGGGTGTAACACCAGATCTGGTGCCATTACTCGTCGATCTAGGAGTTTGTGGAGGGTGTAAGTTGTTGGTCATACTAAATGTCTAAATGAATATGACAAATCTCACCACAATAACTAACTATCTGCTCTTACCGTCTAATAACTTATGATATATAAATCATGAAGCAATCAATTACTTATAAATCTCAGAATCACTTTGGCGTTTTTGTATACGTTTTATTCCGTGTCACAAAAACGCGGTCCAAATCACGATAGAACCAGGGTCCCTTCTATAGCAACATCAAACTCCATCCATGCACCAACCACATAAGGGGCTGATTGGACTGTTAGGTGTATATATTTACTGTCATTTTCGTATTACATTTTCATACTACATCATGAGTGTATATTAAAATCTGCTAAGTGTAATTATTATAGCGATAGTTTTTATATTAGAATTTCTTATTATCCGAAACTTACAATCATAAAACAAGGATACTTCTAATAAGGATGGGTATTAGAGTTGGCAATATGAAGCATTAGGATTTCTTCCACAAACGCTTCACTTAAACCAGGCTGTAAGGATTCATAATCGATAAAATTTTGCATCAATTTATCGATTGTAGCTTTAGTACTGGGTGCTTTTGCTCTTACATGTAGGCGTTGGAGTGAGTATAATACCACATCATCAAGAAACCTTATTGGGCCTGGATGAGAAACATTTTCTAGCTTTCGGTCGGGACTTTCCTTTGGTCTGGAAGGGGATCCAGGAGATACCTGCGAAGAATAAGTAACTTGTAGTGGAGGAAGTAGTGAAGATGATTTTGTTGGCATAGCTAATTCATAACGTTGCGAATTAGGTGGCAAACTAATCATGTTTAGCAAAGGTGATTCATTGCTAATTAACAAAGTTTGTTCCATTGGAGAGGATTTTGTATGATAACTCTTTTTAGTATTAAAGTCCCACTTTATTAAAGGATCATATTCGGGAAGATCGCCGTAATCTATCTTCAAAGGATATTTTGGTTTTTTACCATTCTTGTGATGCCTTTCTGACCATTTATTTTTTTCTTCAAGTAGTTTGAACAAGTTTACGTTTCGCTTGATATTTTTGAGAAATTTATGGTGCAATAAAGTTGACGAGCTAGGGCGTTTCTTGGGGTCTTTTATAAGACAATATCGAACGAAATCTTTAATATTTTCGCTGAAGTCTACTCCTGTTAGCAACGGTGGGCGTTTTTTGGGAATTTCAAACAAAATTTTCATAGGATCATACTGCGATAATGGTGGGGATCCAGTAACCAATTCAATAGTAGTTATTCCTGTTGACCAGATATCTGCCTTCTCATTATAACCTGTTTTCAGTCTAGCAATCACCTCGGGAGCCATCCAAAATGGTGTGCCAACGAAGGTATTTCTTTTCAATTGTGTCATGGTAATCTCTCCACTAACACCAAAGTCAGCTAGCTTGATTTCTCCATAGCTTGTCAAAAGAATATTTGCCAGTTTTATATCTCGATGGACTTTATTTTCCTCGTGTAAATATGTCAATCCACGTAAGACATCTCTTATAATGAATGCTGTTGTCTCCTCATTAAGTTTTTTATAGCATTTAAGCAAATCAGCACATGACCCTCCTCCACAATACTCCATGACAATCCACATTGACATATCATTGATGAAAGTTTCAAAATATTTTGTGATATAAGGGGATCTTAATTTTGATAGGAATTGTATCTCTTGGATTAAAACAGCAATATCCTCATCAGATTCATCTAGATTTATAACTTTTACAGCAACTAGAGTATTATTCAAAATGTCAGTTGCTTTATAAACATCCCCAAAGTTTCCTTTTCCTATGCATTGGTGAATCTTATACTTTTCTACTGACATGATTGATTTGAATTTATTGAAGCAAAACTAAAAAAAATAGGAAATTGTAGCTGAATTTAGAATCTTCTTAAAACTAATAAATATTTGGTTATACCTTCCTCCTTATATGCAATTATGCTATGGTTTACTATAATGATGATGCTATATTATTTCAATATATATGTATAAATTACATACTAAAACTATCTGAGGCCTAACAGAATAAACCACAAATTTTGCAACCACAAACATTTTGGGAAATTAATTATGTACAGGAATCACAAAATCAGCAGTCCGTTTAATTTTAAACTTCTAATCTTCCAATACTCCTTAGCTTCTAACGTAAGACCGATGTCTACATTAAGATTATTCAAGAAGTCGACTTTGCAACCGTTCAATAATAATAATTCTGAAATTATAAATAGCCGTTTTGATTGAGTCCCAATATCTATTTCTATGAATTTTCGCAATGAATATTCAAATAGTGATATAGTTTTAAATTCTTGGTTTGAATCTATGTTAATCAGTACTTGCATATTTATATCAGCACCACATATAATATATTTGATAACTTCATGTATCTCTATTCTTTGAATTGATCTCACTAATAAATCATTAATACCTTCGATACTTGGGATATAACTCTTCATTAAGTATTTGTTCCTGATGAAATCTAATCGTTCTTCATTCAGGCTACTTGGTTGTAACTTTTTACTTCGTGCTAAATGTTGTTCTAGGTACTCATTGACCATTCTGTTATTAATATATTTCAAAAGCAATTCATTTTCATTTTCAAAATTATCTAACTTCAATGATTTGATTCTGGAAATATGGGACCCTAAATGCCTATGCGAAGAAGAGCATCTGACGCAGAATACAACCAAAAAATTGACAGACACCCATTCAACAGATTCAGTAGACCCACAATCAACACACTTATTGTTGTCGCTATTAGGAAAACTTCGAAGAAGTGCTAAATAATCCTTTTCGAGCATCGGTGTTTTAGATTGGATTGAAACCGGCGATAAAGACGATTCCAGCGTCTTCCCAGGAACTCCAGGCTTATCAGTACTTGCTAAATCTGTAATTAAGCTTCCCAATTTTTGCTTGTCTTTATTTTCTTTATGAGTTATTTTATTGCCCCCCTTCAACCTGTCAGTGTCAACCAACTGGCCGGCGTTATATAGAGCTTTAATCCATTTATTTCTTTCATCTTCATTGATTGCCTGAAAAACATGTTTGTTTCCCAAAGAGGTAAATATTTCGAAACAATGCTGTCTCTTCTCATAAGTTATGGGTTTAACGCTAGACAAAGCAATTTCGATAGGCTTATTAATAAGTACTTTACCTTTTCTCCAATCTGAATACTCAGTCAACTGACCGTTTTTCAACACCACCCATTCCTTATGCCATCCTTGTTTTCCCTGACCTCCTAACGTATACAATATTCCTTCAATTTCAGAATTTTGATCATCTTGTGATATCATAGGAACAGCCGTGATAGTACTCACTTGAGATGCTTTAGCAAATATTAAGTCTAGATTATCTTTCGAGATATACTGGTTGTCATTAACTGCATCCAAATTATCGCTAGAGATATATCGGTTTAATCTGTTGTAGCGTATAACATTAGTCAATTCCTCGTTAGATTGACACGCCTCTATCATTTGACGAAACTGAAATTTTTCGCTATTGAATTTTGACAACGCACTTAGGTATATCTCATAGTTACCCAATAATAAGTTCTTGCTTAACTTGACATCTAAAAACATTTCAGTGTGTAAATACTTACCATGATAATGCATGCTAATAAATTTGAATAAGTTTTCTAGCAATTGGTTAAAGTATTGGTTATTTAATAATTGATTAAAATGATTCAAATAATGGAATTTAGATAGTTCAAATTTCTTTCTTTTGCTTAATAATTTCAGCTCTGGACGCTCTTTCTCGTTAGATAAATATTTATTAAGCCAATTGTAATACTCTTTAGATGTATTCTCAAAATTCTTTTTATTGAATAATAATTCATTTGAACTTGAAGCCTCGTTACCCGTAATATTTCTAGATAAAGTAGAAGAAATCTTATCAAGAATCTTGCTATCACAAATATTTCTTGTGAAAAACTGTAAGTTCTTTTCAAAAGGATCAAATATGGAATTAATAGCAGTTTTGAAGTCGGTCTTGAAATTAAAGTGCGATAGTAAGGAATTAAATTGCAAGTTAACTAAATCATTCATTAGATCAATCGTTTTTTGCTTGCACAAGAGAAGCTTTCTCAAGTAAAACTCCAAGTTCTTTCTTTGTTCAATAAATTCTCCACAAATTCTCTTGAATGCTGGCAATTCAGTCTCGTAAGTTTTCAAAGCTTCTCTGAATTCTGGACCATCTTCGATATTAAAACTAAATACCTTTCTATAATCAGCTAATTTAGCATATCGTATTTTCTTAGTAGACCTTAATATTTTCTTATCTGACTGTGTGTTTACCTCTTCGGCGTCTTCTTTGATTTTACGGTCATCCACTTTCGCAGGAGATTCAATATCATTGGCAATACTTGCATCGATCCATACTTTGAAATTAAATAAGTGAGTGTATTCATTTGTAGCACTATCAAATTCCCATAATGATATATTCATCATATTGTCTTGAAATACACTCTTATTAAAATTATCATTTATAATTATTCGTTGGTATTCTTGATAGCTTTGGTCTATTGGTAAGTTGTTGTAATTTAACTTTGAAATCTCAATTCTCATACTTTCATAAGGTTGGCCCTGTAAGACCTCCTTCAAGTGGTTAATGTCGTCATTGTCCGCTAATGTTTTCAATATAACCAATGATTTATCATTATTCCCCGCAAGCACTGGCTTTATGGATATATTTAATTTCAATCTATTATATGAGGATGGAAATCGTATTAATAATGGAACAATTGGGGTCGTAGAAGGATTTTGAATGTAGCTCATTAAGTCTCCGATTGGTTCTTTGGTCTTGGTATCAATTTTGGATGTAGATATGCATTGCTTGATATCTTGTATATGACCCAATATTATTGAGTATCTTATGGTATCATTGTCATTAGTCAAAAATAATTTGTTCAAAGATATATGACTCCAAGGTGATTGAACATATGGAAATGATAACAGTGGAATATTATCCATGCTTTTCTAGGTACGATCAATATTTTCTAGATTTATATTTCTGTTTCTATAAGCCTTCTAATGTGATTAGCATTGAAAACTAAACAAAAGTGGTACAAAACCAAAATGCTACTCTATCAGATGCATCTACATTATTTCTATAGAACTAATCATATGCCACCAATTTTTTTAAATAGAAAATCTATAAATCTATAAATTCTTATGAATGTATTCATATTAACATCTTTCTAGTAAATATAGAACTCGTTTTAATCAAAAATGTAGTAGAAGACAATAAAAAATTATGCGAATT